AACCGCCATGCGCCATCGCATGAGCATCGGTACCATAGTAAGCGATGTGGCTATGAAGGTAAAATTTCAAAGTGGCGGCTACCTGGGTACCATTGAAGAGTATTTTATATCCCGCCTGAAGCCGGGCGATGTTTTTTGGTTTAGCGGTCGTAACCTCGAGTTAATTCGCGTGAAGGGCGTGGAAGTGCAAGTGCGCAAGGCCAAAAGCAAGAAAGGTAAAGTACCGAGCTGGCAGGGCGGGCGCATGCCGCTTTCGGCTCAAATGGGGCGCATGTTGCGCCTGAAGCTTGACGAAAGTTTCAACCAAAAACCCGCAGATCCGGAGCTGCAATTAATAGAGCCGCTCTGGGAAACGCAGCGGCAGCGTTCGGTTATTCCACACAGCAATCAGTTTTTAATAGAAAAGTTCAAAAGCCGCGAGGGCTACCACGTTTTCTTTTATCCCTTTGAAGGGCGATTTGTACACGAGGGCATTGCCGCGCTATTGGCTTACCGCATTTCACTGTTTAAACCGCTTACCTTTTCCATAGCCATGAACGATTATGGCTTTGAGTTGCTGGCCAGCGATCCCATTCCGATTGAGGAAGCTTTAGACAGCGATGTGCTAACTACCGATGATTTGCGGGAAGATATTATGCAAAGCGTAAACGCGGTAGAAATGGCCCGCAGGCGTTTCCGTGATATTGCTAGCATTGCCGGCTTGGTGTTTCGGGGTTATCCGGGGCAGCCCATCAAAGACAAACACCTGCAAAGCAGCAGCCAGTTAATATTTGAAGTGTTTAATGATTATGAGCCCGACAATCTGCTTTTACAAGAAGCCTACGAAGAGGCCCTCGAATTTCAACTGGAGGAGGGCCGCATGCGACAGGCCCTGGAGCGCATCAACCAGCAGGAAATTTTAATTATGGAATTACAAAAACCCTCGCCCTTCTGCTTCCCCATTATGGTAGACCGCCTCAGCCGTGAAAAACTTAGCTCTGAAAGCATTGAAGATAGAGTGAAAAAAATGAAGGTGGAGTTGGGGTGAAATTCATCACTTTTCGACTTGAAAATAGGCCTTCGTAAACCCAAACCCGGTGTTCGTGTGCTTAATAGGGGTTTTCGTAAACTCATGGTTGCATTTTTCATTTTTTCTCAGCAACTTAGTTTTCGCAAAATCTTAACGGGCCTGTTTTTCTTTTTTGCCGCGATAACCGAAAAGCGAAAGAGTAGGTATATTAACTTAATTTGTTTACAAATGAGAACCTTTAATTTAATGCTGGCAGCAGGATGTGTGCTGGCCTTTGCAAGCTGTGAAAAAGAAAGCAGCACCCTTACCCCCCCCCTAAGTCATAAAAGTGAGTTTTCGGCACTTGATTATGAGACTTATGATCCAAGCGTAGATGACGAGTACGCAGAATTCAAAAACGGAATTATTGCCATTTTTGAAGGCACCAATCCAGGAGGTGAAACAGATATCAATCGCGCTATATGGCTGTATGAATCCGGAATGAGCGCCCTTCTACGCGATACGGTATTTAATGACTTTGATACGGTAATTACCGATCAGCGTGAAGTATCTTTCACACTAACTGAAAGTGAAAAACTGGTAGACGAAGATTTTATTTCTGAATTTACCACGGATTATAATCAGGTGGTAAGTTTTAAGCAGCAGCATCAGGATTTGGATTACCAATTTACAGATGTGCAATTTGCTAGCCTGAATAATGGAATCCTAAGTTTAAAGGTGGTGAATCATTATTACCAGAGTGGAACTCGAAATATGTGGAGCGCGCCAACTGTGCCACCGGCTACTTATGACAAAAGAGGCGGTGCAATTTTTGCTTGCGTTGCGGGTCAACCCGGTGGAGCGTGGCAACATGTTCAGGGTCAGGTAAGAGCTGTTATGCCAAAGACTTGGTATCAAGGGATGGGAGCTTCAAATATCCTAGCTTTTGGATCAGATTCCCGCTACGCTAAAGGTTATAAATTGTATTTAGAAGGCGGTTATTTATTTGGTGGAGATAATTCCTTATATCATCCACCCATTCTTGATCCAACCGGACAATACTACCTCAACGGACAGGGTGAGTGTGTCACCCCGACAGAACAAGATAGCTACTCGCAGGAATTGGCTGATAGGTTGTATGATTATTTGGGGAAAAGAAACCATTGGGATGACGTACTTGGGTTAACAGTTAAAAAATGGAACGACTCACCATCAACTGCAGTGTGGTGGTTTCATGGAAGCTTTAGCAATAGGTTGGTTCCGGATAGTTTAATGGCGATAACCAAGGCTGACTTGGGTTTATAAATTTTAATAAGTGGAGTGGGCTTGCCCCACTCCTTCTTTAAATCTATACGATATGAACAAGATGCTCTTAAGTGCACTCATTTTGAGTATATCCTTATCGTTAGAGGCGCAAGTGATTAAGCAGGAAATCAAGGCATCAAAATTTACAGGTGCTGAATACATAGCTGCGGGCGATAGTTTTTTATTTGCCTCGATCAATTATAATCGATTTTATACTCAACTTGCTGAACAAGCATTTCTTTACAAGTTCGATTTCAATTTGAATGTTTTGGATAGCGTAAAGTTAAATGGTTGGAACTTGGGACAGAGTGACTTCTTTTACCCCAGTGATATTGAGGTAGATTCTGGAGGGAATGTATATAGTTTACATCTTTATTATAAGTCTGCCAGTTCCGCGTATTGTGGGATAACAAGTTATATACTTGTTCATAATAGCAGTCTTTCTCTCATTGACTCCATTTCGTTAGATGTGGATACCTTAAGTGAGAATTTCATAGAAATATTACTATATGACCGTCATATTTTAGCAACTGGAGGGGCATCTGTATGTGGTACTGGATTAGTTAGACCTGCTATTTTTAATTACGATTTAACTACCAAAACAGGCCGGCTAGTACGATTTGATACTCTTGGTCTACCAAATTCTCGTACCTATTTTCATGACGTGGCTCGTACAACAGACGGTTTTATTGTCAGGGCAGAAGGACCCGTGAAAGTAACCCAAAACAAATCTTGGGGTAATGTAGGTCTTGATAGCAGTTTTAATGTAACTACCATAGGTTCCTTTAGTGAAAAAAACTCATCTGAATTACGGGCGTTGAGAGGGACTGGGGCATATGTGCCTGTATCTGAAGACAGTATTTACCAATTAAGCGTTGCGTGGGCTTGGCCGCAGCACAAGCCTCCAGGCGCATTAAATTATCAGAACTTTGGCTATTCGCTTCTGGATTCTGCCAATAATGTTTGTTCTATCGATACACTGCCGCTTTGTGGGTTTAATTGTAGCCTAGATCCATATGATTTGGTGCAAGCAAGTTGGGATGCTTATGACTACACAACTACCGACAGCGTGCTATTTGTGCAAATGGAGAGGTATGTTAATTCTGATAATTTTTATTTAAAAGACACCGTTCCCTTCTACATCTACAATTTCAATGGTTCAAAAGGCCGCATGAATTGGATTCGTAAAATTGAAAGAAATTACACTTGTGGTGGCCATGCCGTAGCTGCCCTGCCTGGCAATCGCTGGGCAATTAGTTTTAATGAATACAACTGGGACAAGTACCCCGGTGAAAATCTCTCCGTGCATATTTGGATACTCAATGGTAAGGGTGATATTATCAGTCAAAGGGAGTTTACAAAGTCTATGGAAAAAATTAAAGTTTTCCCGAATCCTGCACGCGATTATATAACTGTTGATTTAGGAGGCTTTGAAAACGGCCAACACTCTGAATTTAAACTGATGTTTTATGATGGTCAAGGCAGAGAGCAGTATCGTGAGATGGTTACAGCAACAGGCGATGCCATTGATGTCTCAAGTTGGGAGGAGGGTGTTTATACCTGTCAGCTGCTATTAGATTCCCAGCCAGTCGCTGTCGGAAAAGTAAATGTGAAGCGTTAATTACTCCACAAAAACCCTCGCCCATCTGCTTCCCGATCATGGTTGACCGTCTGAGCCATGAAAAACTTAGCTCCGAAAGCATTGAAGAAAGAGTAAAAAAATGAAGGTGGAGTTGGAGTAAGCGCTAGCTGTACATACAATAAGCATCTCGCAGACGTATGTTGGGAGAACCTGAATACTTAGGTGCTAATTAACACTCTTTCTAAGAGGTGCTAATAACTGCAAGTACATGACTGTTGATTTGAAAAATCTCGCTTCACGCTACTTTGCAGGAAACCGGCTCAACATTCAGGCGGCTTCTTTTTTTGAAAGCACACTATTTTGGAAACATGATAAAAGTCATTGAAAAATAAAAGGATATGTAAGTCTTTTATAGTGTTCTTACACCAATTTATACATTAAAGTTATTTAATCATGTTTAGTAAAACACACTTCTTTTTAATAGCCATAATATTTACGTTTTGCTATGGATGCAATCAGGCAGCTGAAGCTAATCCCGTAAATAATGAGTCTGAACAAGTAGCAGAGCAACCGCCCACAGCACAGGGTCAAGCGTCTGTAGTTGACCATTCATCTGAGCAAAACATTTTGAATGTTGCACTTGGTTCTGATGACCACACCACCTTGGTAGCTGCAGTGCAGGCTGCACAATTGGAAAATGTATTGGTAAATGCCGGACCATTAACGGTTTTTGCACCTACCAACGCTGCTTTTGATGCTCTACCGGATGGTACCGTTGAGGAGTTATTGAAGCCCGAAAATAAAGCGAAGCTGCAACATATAATAAAATATCATGCTGCACCAGGAGCCTATACAGGGGCAAATATCAAAGGCGTTATGGGCATTGGACAGGCTACTGGCGAAAAAGTACAGGTTGAAATAAATGAAGCTGGAGAGACTTTGATAAACGGGGCTAAGGTCTTGGCCACGGTAAAGGCTTCAAACGGATACGTTCACGTAATTGATAAGGTTTTGCTTCCTCCAAAAAATGAATGAGCGCTTCCGCTAATTTGTGCCAGCAATAGTATGGATAAAAAAAAAGGCCACCTGTTGGGTAGCCTTTTTTGTTTTTCAGAGCGGTAGAAATTACATTTTTTCTTCCATGGTTTCTTCCATTTCCTCACTGGCCTCTTCCATTTCTTCAACGGTTTCTTCAGCTGCAGCTTCGGTAGAATCAGCCATTTCCTGCATTTCTTCACCGGCTTCTTCCATGGTGTTTTCCACTTCGTCACCAGCTGCTTCCATGTCACCTTCTGGGTTGTTGCATGCGATGGCTCCAACAAAGATCAGGGCAAAAGCAAAAAAGCTAACTTTTTTCATAGTTTAATCGAGATTTGGTTGTTATTACGTAAAACTGTGGCAAATGTATACATTTTTTAACGCCATAGTTCTATTCTATGCTAATCTTAAGTTTTTTAGTAACGACTTTAGGCTCACCATCTTGTCTAATTTATCGCGGAGCTCACTTATATGCACCCTATTTTGTTGCATGCTGTCGCGGTTGCGGATGGTTACCGTTTGATCTTCTTTTGTTTGATGATCAACGGTAATGCACAGTGGTGTGCCAATGGCATCGTGCCTGCGATAGCGCTTGCCAATGGCATCTTTTTCATCGTACTGCACGTTGAAATCCAGTTTGAGTTCATCCATAATTTCACGGGAAATTTCGGGCAGGCCGTCTTTTTTCACCAATGGCAGAATGGCCGCTTTTACTGGGGCCAGGGCCATGGGCAGTGAAAGTACGGTGCGCACACTGCCGTCCTCTAATTTTTCTTCCTGATAGGCGGCCGAGAGAATGGCCAAAAACATGCGGTCTAGGCCGATGGAGGTTTCTACCACGTATGGCACATAATTCTCATTAATTTCCGGATCAAAGTACTGCAGCTTTTTACCGCTGTGTTTTTCATGGGCCTTTAAGTCAAAATCAGTGCGGGAGTGAATGCCTTCCAGTTCTTTAAAGCCAAAGGGAAAGTTGAATTCAATATCTGCAGCAGCATTGGCGTAGTGGGCCAGTTTATCGTGATCGTGCCAGCGATAAAAGTCAGTACCCAGGCCCAGGCTGTTGTGCCAGGCCATGCGTTGTTCTTTCCAGTACTCGTACCACTTCATTTCTTCCCCGGGGCGCACAAAAAACTGCATTTCCATCTGCTCAAATTCGCGCATGCGGAAAATAAACTGGCGGGCTACAATTTCATTGCGGAAAGCTTTTCCGGTTTGGGCAATGCCAAAAGGCACCTTCATCCTTCCGGTTTTTTGCACGTTGAGGTAATTTACAAAAATGCCCTGGGCCGTTTCCGGGCGTAGGTACACCTTATTGGCACCATCGGCCGTTGAGCCCATTTGCGTATCAAACATCAGGTTAAATTGGCGTACATCGGTCCAGTTTTTTGAGCCCGAAACCGGATCGGCAATGCCTTTTTCCTCAATAAGGTTTTTTACATCTGCTAAATCGCCAGACTCTAAACCTTTCACCATGCGCTCAATGGTTTCATTGGCTTCGTCTAGATAGCGCTTTACCCGCGGATTGGTTTCGCGGTACATCTGCTCGTCAAAGTCATCACCAAAACGCTTGCGGGCCTTGGTAATTTCCTTTTCGGCCTTCTGGCGAAGTTTTTCGGCATAATCTTCCAATAACACATCAGCCCGGTATCGCTTTTTGCTGTCCTTGTTGTCAATCATCGGGTCGTTAAAGGCATCAACGTGGCCGCTGGCCTTCCAGGTGGTAGGGTGCATGAAAATAGCGGCATCAATGCCCACAATGTTTTCGTGCAGCTGCACCATGGCGCGCCACCAATAATCGCGAATGTTCTTTTTTAGCTCAGCGCCATTCTGGCCGTAGTCGTAAATGGCCTGCATGCCATCATAAATTTCGCTGCTCTGAAATATAAAACCGTACTCCTTGGCGTGGGAGATAATGTTCTGAAATTGCTTGTCGTCACTCATGCCGGCAAAAGTAATACGCTTTGATTTGCTGCGCAGATTTAGCCAGTGGCAATTCGCAGAAAAAAGTATATTTTTAGGAACAGTATGAAGATGAAATGGCTGGTTGGTTTTCTGGTGTTTTTCGCCTACGCGCATTCCGCGCAAGCGCAGTATTTGCCGGTGGTAAAGCAACACCGCGTTTGGTATAGCTCCTTTAACGGGTGGACAAATGAAACCATGATTTTAGGCGTGGGACCGGACACCACTTTAGCCGGGAAAACCTTGCCCTTGCTGGTTAAAATGGATCAGAACCTGAGCATTACCGATAGGCTGGCCACTTTGGAGGAAGACACCACCTCAGGGATGCTCAAAGTTGAATTTTTCAATGGCTTGGGCTATACTTTGAACTTTTCGGCACAGATTGGTGATTCCACAAAATTTGATTTAAGATCAGGCGACAGCGCCTATTTACGGGTTGTGAAAAGGTACAATATTGTTGATTTTAACGGTGAAACCCGTAGGGCTCTTGAATTGCAGGCCCCACCACAAGCGTTTTGCAACGCAGCTAAAATCACCATTGTTGAAGGCTTGGGGCCACTTGGCTCACTGGCAAATCCCAACCATGATTGTTCGGTGAGCGACATTCCACGGCATGCGTTGAGGTGTGTGTTTGATGNNTAAGATTTATGGCGATACCATTCAGCAATGTTTTGTACTTGACAACCATCAAGAGAACTTGGCTATGCGCAGCGTTTTTCCCAACCCAGCTGCCAGGTGTTTAAATCTTACTGGTTTTGAAAGAGGCGGTACATATGCCATACATACGGTCTCAGGTAAAGAAGTGCAAGCCGGCATTTTGGAGGATAATAGAATACCAGTTGATTTTTTGCCGCGTGGCATTTACATGCTGAAAGTACCCCAGAAAGATGGTTTAATTTATTTTTATAAATTTACCAAACCTTAATTATAAATTTGAAGTATCTGCAACATGTCTGCTCGAGTTATTTTCAGTTCAATTCTTTTCTCTATTTCTTTATTTTCCTTTGGCCAAACGTATGTTCGGCTGGCACCTTTGCAACAACATGCGGTGGGCTTTCCCATGAATATTAATCATTATTATTTAATCAGCGGAGGGCAGGAATTTTCTTCTTCCCTCAGCGTGAGAAAATTCTTTTCTTCCCGTTTCAATGCATTTGTAGAAATGGGTTTGGTGGGCTTTGACCAGGAACGCGTGTTTACGGGAGATGTTAACGATGTGAAACTGTATGGCAATAAAATAATTTATTCCCGGCTGGAGTCGGCAACTTATGCAGGGTTGGAATACTGGCTTTGGCCGGTTGAACGACAGAAGTTCAATATTACTATTGGTGTTGCTGGCGGGCTCTGGACCAAGTTGACGGAGTCTCATCACTTCATGCTTGAACCTGCCCAGGCAGGGTTTAAATCCCAATTGGGTTTTGCTTTTCCCATAAAACACGATTACATAATACTCTCTGTGGGATATGGCATGCGTTGGAACGGTGATGTGGGTATTCCCTTTCTCGGGTATGGAATTTCTTACGATTTAAATATAAGCGGCTGCAACTAGAATTGTACCGGCAATTATTTTTTCACCCTATAGGAATATATAGATAAAGCTTCCGTATTGGTTAGACGGGGCGTTGAATAAGTATTATAAGTTATTCTTATGATGAGTGAGGAGAACAATGGTATCAAAAACAGTCTATTTTTTTTATTTGTAAGTAATTCAAAATTTTTAACCTTTTAAACATGCGCAGTAAACTAGTGCTTATTGCTTTAATGCTAAGCAGCGGATTGCTCTCTCAAACAACCATAGGTTTTGCTCCTATGAAGCTCAATCGGTCGCAGCACCCAACATCATTAGATTATTACGAAATTGCCTCGGCTTCTAAAACTGTTTCTGAGTTTAGTCCCAGTATTGCATTTCATACATTTTTCAAGCCTAAATGGAATTGGTTTGTGCAGTCTTCACTCATAGGCTATTCTTACAGGCGGTATTATCGCGGAGCAGAAGGGGAGGCGCGATTCGGGAATCAAATTAATTATAGCCGACTGGACCTGGCCACCTTTGCCGGGATGGAGTATTGGTCAAATGCGTATGAAGATCATCGCGTAGGCTTGCGGTTGGCGCTCTCGGCAGGCATTTGGGGCCGTTTAGTGCAATCACACGATAAGCTATTGAATGATGGGCAACCGGGAATGAACGCCCGATTGGGGCTTAACTTTCCGCTGGCGCAAAATTATCTGGCTTTGTTTTTCAACTGTGGCTTTCGGGTAAATAATGGCTTTTACATGCCCTATTATGGATTGGCATTGAGTTATAACTTTGCCGTTGCCAGGCCTTAGCCAAAAAAAATCCCGAATTTGAACGTGTCAAATCCGGGATCTACTCAATCTGCGTTGTAAGTTTTAACGCACCACTTTTACGTTTAGTGCGCTTGGTCCTTTGGGTCCCATTTCGGTTTCAAAAGTTACGATATTATCCTCACGAATTTCTTCGGTGGTATTATTTACGTGCACAAATACGCTTTGATTGGTCTTTTTGTCGCGTATAAAGCCGTAGCCTTTTTCGTGGTTAAAGTGGGTTACCACTCCTTTTCGAATGGCGTCTTCTTCGAAAGAATCGGGTTCGCGCTGTGGCACACCGAGTTCAATATTTTGTGCTTTTACCTTCTTGGCGGGTTCGGGTGGGGTATCGTGAAACTGCCCAAACTCATCCATATAAGTAATGTTGTCGCCCTTATCGCCCGCATTGGCTTTGCGTTCTTCCTTTTTGCGCGCTTTGAGCTCCTTCTTTTTTTGTCTCTTCTTTTCTCGTTCTTTTTTCCCGAAAGTTTCTTGGGATCTACCCATAAAATATTTGTTTAGATTAAAAAATTTGGCAAGTGCTAAAGTCAATGCTATCCGGCCGTGTGGCCTGCAACACCACGGCTTTTCTAATAACTATGTGCGGGGAAAGCAATTGAATATTCAGCCCTACCGTAAACCTTAGCTGAATCTGTTAAAAAAAGAAGCCAGAAAATAGCTTCCGCTAAGAACGGGCAAAGATACAATATTATTATTGTTCGGCTCCGCGGCCGAAGGAGGACATGGGCTTAGTTTTTAGTTCTGGCCCTGCTGGCAGCTTTAATTTAAAACTGGCTACACCAAATGCGTAATATTGGCCGAAAACAGCTTTACCGCAATTGCCAGGAGTATTACCCCAAATACCCTGCGCAGTACATCAATGCCCGAGGTGCCCAATTTTCGCTCCAGGAAGCGCGCACTTTTAAGCACCACAAAAACCAAAAGGCAATTCAATAAAATGGCCACCATAATATTTTCGGCAGCGTACTCTGCGCGTATAGAAACTAGCGTAGTCATGGTGCCGGCCCCTGCCACCAGGGGAAAGGCTATGGGTACAATGGAGGCCGACTTTGGCTCTGCGCCCTTTATTATTTCTATGCCCAACACCATTTCCATGGCCAAAATGAATAGCACCACGGCACCGGCCACCGCAAAAGAGTTCACATCTACGCCCAGGTATTTCAAAATACTTTCGCCCAAAAAGAGAAAAGCGATCATGATTACAGCCGATACAATGGTGGCCTTTTCGCTTTGAATATGTCCCACCTTTTTTCGCAGGGAGATGATAAGCGGAATGCTGCCCATGATATCAATAACGGCAAATAAAATCATGGTGGCAGAAAATATTTCTTTCAGGTTGAAATTCATACAACTAGCTGTTTTTTTAAGGCGCGCAAAAGTACCTTCATTCCCAATTTTGACAATGGATACATCACTTTATTTTCAGGGAATACTTCCGGCTTATTTAAAGGTGATTTAATGGGCCTGTGATACGCCCACTATAGGAATCGAAGGCCGACTGAGTGTTTACTGTTTCTTCTTTGATCCGGATTCTCCTGGTGGGTCTGATCATTTCTTTTTGTGCGCCAAGGCGGGACGAATCCTCAACTTCCATTTTCCCCAAAATATTCAATCGCACTACCTTTGCCGCATGATTGCAATTGGTGAATCTTTGGTGAGTGAAGACATCCTGGAAAAGGAGTTTGTCTGTGATTTGAGCAAGTGTAAAGGCGCCTGTTGCGTGGAGGGCGATGCCGGGGCCCCAGTGGAAGCCGAGGAAGGTAAAATACTGGCCGAGGAGTTTGCAAATATCCGCCCCTTCCTTCGGCCGGAAGGCATAAAAGCAATTGAAGAACGAGGCACCACCGCCACCGACCCCAACGATGGCGAATTGGTAACACCCTTGGTAAACGGTGCCGAATGTGCCTACGTGATTTTTGACGAAAACGGGACCACCAAATGTGGCATTGAAAAAGCCTTTGAAGCGGGTGCAACCGCTTTTCATAAACCGGTGAGCTGCCATCTTTATCCAATTCGCATCACACGCTACCCCGAATTTGAAGCGGTGAATTATCACAAATGGCAAATATGCGATCCCGCCTGTGCGCTGGGCGAAGAACTAAAAGTGCCCGTATATAAATTCACCAAAAACGCCTTGATTAGGAAGTACGGCCCGAGTTGGTTTAAGGAGCTGGAGACGGTGGCAGAAAACTGGCCCGTAAAGTAGCATCGATCAATAAATTGGCTANNTACCATCACATTTTATAAAGTATTGAAATACAAATAAATGCAGCTTGCGCTCCATCGCGCTACGGTTTTTAACAATCCGTGTGAATTAATATCGCCTATTTTCTGTCAGATGGAGTTGCTTTTTTTATATCTCCCGTCAGCGCTCGTTTTGCGGGCTTTTCAAATTTAAGCCTGTGTTAATAAAAGCGCCAAAATGTGAAAAACTAGCCATTGTTGGCGGTACACATATTGGCCACATTTGTATAGCAAGCTAAGGGAAACAGATTTTCGGTCTACTCAATCCAGCTTTGTATTTACCTGAAAAACAAACAATTGCCTGCCGGGCAAGGGGCGTATTTTCAGCTTAAAACAGTAATCTTTAAATAGTTAAAAAGAGGCAAGCATGAGCGTACAGGAACCAATTTTACAGGAGAACAAAAACAGATTCGTACTCTTTCCCATAGAGCACCACGATATTTGGGAATGGTATAAAAAGCAAGAAGCCAGTTTTTGGACCGCTGAAGAAATTGACCTGCACCAGGACTTAAACGATTGGAACAATAAGCTCAACGATGACGAGCGCTATTTTATCAAACACATTCTGGCCTTTTTTGCCGCGAGTGATGGCATTGTAAACGAAAACCTGGCCGAAAACTTCGTGAACGAAGTGCAATTTACGGAGGCCAAGTTCTTTTACGGTTTCCAGATTATGATGGAAAACATTCACAGCGAAACCTATTCTTTATTAATTGACACTTATATAAAAGACAAGGAAGACCGCGACCGCCTCTTTAAAGCCATTGAGAATTTTGACGCCATAAAGCGCAAAGCCGAGTGGGCGTTAAAGTGGATTGAAAGCGACAGCTTTGCCGAGCGCTTGGTAGCTTTTGCAGCTGTGGAGGGCATATTCTTTAGCGGATCTTTCTGCTCCATTTTCTGGCTCAAGAAGCGCGGCCTGATGCCGGGGCTTACATTTAGCAACGAGCTTATTTCGCGCGATGAAGGCCTGCACTGCGATTTCGCCTGCCACTTGCACAACAACCACCTGGTTAACAAAGTGCCCGAAGAACGCATAAGAGAAATAATTCTGGACGCGCTTGATATTGAGCGCGAGTTTATTACCGAAAGTTTACCGGTAAACCTTATTGGGATGAACGCCAAGTTGATGACCCAATACCTGGAGTTTGTAACCGACCGGCTGTTGGTGGAGTTGAACTGCGAAAAAGAGTTTAACGTAGAAAACCCCTTCGACTTTATGGATATGATTAGCCTGCAGGGCAAAACCAACTTTTTTGAAAAGCGCGTGGCCGAGTACCAAAAAAGTGGCGTAACCCAAGGCTCAGAGTCACAGAACATCACTTTTGATGCGGATTTTTAAGAAAGACATCAGTATTAAGACTGAAAGTACAAAGAGGGGAAGGCGGCTTTAATGTCTTAATACTTTGTACCTAATACTTAATACTATAACAACACTCCATACCAACCAGATATTCATTAAAAAACGAAATTAACCATGTACGTAATAAAAAGAGACGGGCGCAAAGAATCGGTGAAGTTTGACAAAATCACCGCGCGCATTCAAAAGCTGTGTTATGGCTTAAGCGAGTTGGTAGATTCTACCACCGTGGCCATGAAGGTAATTGAAGGCATTTACGAAGGGGTAACCACCACCGAACTGGATAGCCTGGCGGCTGAGGTGGCTGCGAGTATGACCACCCGCCACCCGGATTATGCGCAGCTGGCGGCCCGCATAGCCGTGAGCAACCTGCATAAAAACACCACCAAGTCGTTCAGCGAAACCATGACCGACCTGCATGAGTATGTAAACCCCAAAACCGGTTTGCATTCACCGCTAATTTCGGATGACGTGCAGGAAATCATTCAGAAGAATGCGGCTTTGCTGGATTCTACCCTGATTTACGACCGTGATTTTGGATACGATTATTTCGGCTTTAAAACCCTGGAGCGCTCTTACCTTCTGCGCTTAAACGGAAAAATTGCTGAGCGCCCGCAGCACATGATTATGCGTGTGGCCATTGGTATTCACAAGGAAGATCTGGACTCGGCCATTGAGACCTATCACCTGATGAGTAAAAAGTATTTTACCCACGCCACGCCTACACTTTTCAACTCGGGAACACCCAAGCCCCAAATGAGCTCCTGCTTCCTGCTAACCATGAAAGATGATAGCATTGATGGTATATACGACACCCTGAAGCAATGCTCAAAAATTTCACAAAGCGCAGGCGGCATTGGCTTGAGCATACATAATGTGCGCGCCACCGGTTCTTACATTCGCGGCACTAACGGCACTTCCAATGGTATTGTGCCCATGTTGCGCGTGTTTAATGATACCGCTCGCTACGTTGATCAGGGCGGAGGCAAGCGCAAAGGCTCTTTTGCCATTTACCTGGAGCCCTGGCACGCAGATATCTTTGACTTCCTTGATTTGAAGAAAAATCACGGCAAGGAAGAAATGCGTGCCCGCGATTTGTTCTACGCCCTGTGGACGCCCGACCTCTTTATGAAGCGCGTGAAGGAAGATGGCATGTGGACGCTCATGGACCCCAACGAGTGTCCTGGCCTTTGCGATGTGCACAGCGAAGAGTTCAACAAGCTTTACGAAAAGTACGAAGCGGAAGGCAAAGGCCGCAAAACCATCAAGGCCCGCGATTTGTGGTCGAAAATCATGGAGAGCCAAATTGAAACGGGTACGCCTTACATGTTGTACAAAGACGCGGCCAACGCCAAGAGCAATCAACAGAATTTAGGCACCATCCGTTCTTCCAACCTGTGTACCGAAATTATTGAGTACACCGCTCCCGATGAAGTAGCGGTTTGTAACCTGGCTTCGCTGGCGCTGCCAATGTTTATTGAAGACGATAAATTCGATCACAAAAAGCTATACGAGGTAACGTATAAGGTAACCAAGAACCTGAATCGCATTATTGACCGCAATTACTACCCGGTGCCGGAAGCGCGCAACAGCAATATGCGTCACCGTCCGGTTGGTTTGGGTGTACAGGGCTTGGCCGATACTTTTATCAAGCTGCGCATGCCGTTTACCTCGGAGGAAGCCAAAAAGCTGAACAGCGAAATTTTTGAAACCATTTATTACGCATCGCTTAAAGCGAGTAAAGACGAGGCTATTGCCGATGGGCCTTACGAAAGCTACGAAGGCTCGCCCATTAGCCAGGGCAAGTTCCAATTCAACATGTGGGGCTTGAAAGATACCGATTTGAGCGGCCGCTGGAATTGGGACGAATTGCGTGCCGAAATCAAAGCGCATGGCGTGCGTAACTCGCTACTGTTAGCACCCATGCCCACCGCGTCTACCAGCCAGATACTAGGCAATAACGAGTGCTTTGAGCCTTACACTTCTAATATCTACACGCGTAGAGTATTAAGTGGTGAGTTCATCGTGGTAAACAAACACTTGTTGCTTGATTTGGTGAATTTGGGCTTGTGGAGTGAAGACTTGAAAAACGAGATCATCCGCAGCAACGGTTCCATCCAACACATTGAGGGCATTCCGGAAAACATTAAGGAATTGTACAAAACCGTGTGGGAAATGAGCATGAAAGACATTATTGATATGAGTGCCGACCGCGGTGCCTTTATCGATCAGTCGCAATCGCTTAACCTGTTTGTGGAAAATGCCAACGTGGGCAAATTAACCTCCATGCACTTTTACGCCTGGCAGAAAGGTTTGAAAACGGGCATGTATTACCTACGCACCAAAGCTGCTGCCGATGCCATTAAGTTTACCGTGNNCGAAAGAAAAAGAGGAGCAGTTGAAGAAAGCCAATGCGGCCGGTGAGCAGCGCGTAGCCGAAATGGCCAAACGCATGCAGGAGTTTACCGATGAGGAAGTAATTGCCTGCAGCATTGACAATCCAGATGACTGCGAAGCCTGTGGGTCATAATAATTCTTCTATATTTTGTTTGATTGACAGCCGCTCTTTCCCGGGCGGCTGTTTTTATTTGGTACGTGTAAGTCAATAAATAAATAAGAAACTGTATATTAGTAGAAGTCTAATTTTAAACCTTATATTTTATGACAATCAACTACACACACACACAGAAATTTAAGCCATTTAGGAGCGTAATTTTTTACATCTTGGCTATGATCTTAATGGGGTCAAGCCAGCTTTTTTCTCAAGTGCAATTTGATTTGGGCGTGACAAGTACATCAAATGTCTATTTAGTTGCAGAAGTGCATTCCACAATGGGAGGAAATTCTTGCAGTTCAGATCTGATTCTTGAACAGAAGCACTATGACGTTCCAGCCAATGATGCATTTTTATATTCAGGTATGGTTGATAATGGCGGAAACCCAATCACCAATGAAGCTCAAATTGTTGGCATAAGTTTTCATGAGTATGATGGAAATCAAACCTATTATGGTGTGTACCATGAACTAAAATTCTGTCCACAGAATTTGGCTCAGAATAATGGGCAAGGAGCAACTTTTTGGTCGCCCGTTTATAATCAATTTTTTACAGTTACTGTATCTGTGAATCGAGGAGTTGCCCCACCCCGAATAGAGGTCAATGTTCAATAGAATAAAGTTTATACAAGAAAAATGCAGGCCCTTTTTAGCGGTCTGCTTTTTTTTTATAGTCTACATCTCGATGGCTCAGCACCATATAGAGGTCGCGAATCCGAAGTACCTTCATTCTTCTTATACTAAGGATAGTACTGTGAAATATGTATTTCAGTTGAGAAGTACAGTTGACCAATGTATATATTATAGTGGATATGGAGCTGTAGATAGCACTTTATTTGTAACTGCCAACAAACCTTTCAATTTATTAACTCAACGCTTATACAATTCTAATGGGCATTATTTTTTTCTTGACAGTGTTAGTACGCTGTCATTTAAAGGTGCATTCCCATTTTCAGTAGCATTATATTCAAACGCTATTCAGAATGAAGACACGAATTTGCTCAACGTTTCAGACTTCTGTGAGGTTCGTGATGCCAGCGAGGGGACGGAGTTGTTTAACTTAACTAAGGGGAGGAATTATAGTATACCTTGGTTTCTGCCACCAGAAGTGTTTGCATTGAACAGCCAAAGAAGCCTATATCCCAATGCAGCAGTTCGTGTAGCTATATATGCTATTGACTCTTTTTTGGATTACGATCGAGAGGCAAACCATAGTTATTTAATAGATTCCATAATTGAAACTTACGATAATACCTGTGATTATATAACTAATAATGAATTAAATGTTTATGATTCGAGTGTTTATATAAACACACCGAGTCAACTTGAGAAACGTTTTTCGCATTATGACAATCTTTGGAATCCATCCAATTATGAAAGGTATTTTAAGACTCCGGAACTGGGCGATAAATTTACCTCGAATTTGGTGAGGTATAACTCTGAAAACGGAGAGGAATTTAAAGTGATTACAAACTCCTTTATTGATCATTACGCAATCGATGAAAATTTTGGATTAAATCAATTTTACGAAGTTGTTTTTCCGGAAGCAATGGCCGCAACTAAATATTTTTTGCCTGAGCTCCAACCTGATTCTGTATTTGTGAACATCACATTTTTGGATAGTAATAGCACCCTTTATGTTGATAATATTCAGCAAGGGATTTACAATCCGGATACTACGGTTAGATTGAAACTGTTCAAGGACACCTATTTTCGATCTGACAAGAAGTTCCAAGTATTTACTGGGACCTATTCAGATACAAATCGCGCAAGTCAAGCAACCGTAAACTTCAGGGCGTATCAGAAAATCAATCATCGATACTTGGGCACGGGCTTCCAACTTTTAGCCCCAGAGCATTTTATCAACTATACCTTTTTTAAACCAGTGCTTCCGCCTGACACCTCTACCCAAGCTTTTGTAAACCTTACGTGCAGAAGCTCTGCTACGCAAAGTATGCTGGTAAACGGCCAGCCTTTACCGAGCAATTTGTGGCAGCCATTTTCGGCCTCGCCAGATTATAGTTTTGCAGAAATTCCGCTGGTAAGAGACAGCACCTATCATTTAGAAAATCCTGCGGGTTTTAATGGCATTCATTATTCGCGGCCGCTCAAGCGCGAGGGCCACGTACGGCTTTATGCTATGACTTTGGGGGAAGTGCCAAGGGTTGAAAAAGATTATGGCAGGTTACAACACCGAAAACCGATGGATAATAACTGGGCTGCTGACGATACCCTTTGGCTTTGCCGTGATGAAAAGTACGAACTGCGCTTGCCGCAATGGCGTTTTACCACAGTGAAGCTCAGTTTGCCCGCAGGGAAAGATACAACCATCAACGTGGGTAAAGATGAAGCTCCTCCTTTGCCTTTTTCCGCACCAAAGGCCGCGGGTAGGTACATGATAACCGCTTGTGACTCGAGCGGCTGCCAGCCTTGTGATACGGTTTTTCTAACAATAGATGATTATAAAATAAATCAGGTTAGTGAGCAGATAAGTTTGTCGTGTGAGGGAATGGTTGCCAGTTTCACTTTGGATACCCAATTTATAACAGACAGTTTGCTTATTAGCTGCAATGGCGAATTGCTTGCCGAAGGAGAGGGTAATACGATTGACTTTCTTATCCCCGCAAAATGGTATCAGACTAATCCGCTTCCGCTTACTGTAGAAGCCTATTCCGGGCCTTGCGATACTGTAATTCAATACAATCTATACTTACCGGAAATCAACGGCATATTGCCCAATGTTTTTACGCCTAATGGCGATGGGGTGAGTGACTGCTTTGGTCTGGATCAAAACCTCCACGCCCTTGCCTGCAAAAATTTGTCGGTGTATAGTCGCAACGGACAACTCATCTGGCAAGCCGGAACAGAAACTTGCTGGGATGGAACTTACAAGGGAACACAAGCAGCAGAAGGAGTGTATTTTTATACACTAACCCTTGGGGATGGCAGTCAATTTAAGGGCTTTGTTCACCTGATGCGTTAAGCAAAACCAGTAGTTTTGTCGTCTATGCCTTACTCTTTATTGTATAAATCACTTGCGGCAATCCTTATCTTTTTTTCAGCAGGAATGCTGATGGCCCAGGAAAAACCCCCATCGCCCGAAGAGGCCATAGAAAAGGTTTTTAAGGTGCTAAGCGGGCAGGAAAGTGCCATTGACAAAGAGCCCGCCAAAAGACTGCGGGCGGCCGCCTGGGAGGCGCTGGCCTACGTGCCGGGTAAAGGCCTGGATACCATTACCACCTTCAGCTTGCAGCAAGCCGTTCCCGATTATTACAATTTTGAAGAAGGTGAGCTCATTCTCAAGTTAATTGACCCTAAGGACCACAATCGTTACGGGCAGGAGCTAAGGGTGCCCTACGGCTTGTCTGCGCCCACCGTAAATCTTTACGATAACCAGGGGCAAACGGTGAAAGATAAATGGGAAATTATTTACCTGGATGAATTTTACCTGGCTTTGGATATGGGAGATCTGCGAATATTTTTCACCCGCACGGCCGCTCAGGAATAAGCTTCTTACCTTTGCAAAAGAATATTTTTATTATGACGGCTGACAAGCAAAACCTTGAAATAGCGAAGATTCAACGGGAAATAGAGAATTACTTAAGTTTGGGGAGCACCCAAATGATTTTTGACTTTCAGGACAATCCCAACGGAATTCGCCT